ACTATGCCACCGTCCCATACCGGTGCATATAATCCATAACATCCAGGTAATTAACATAATTTATTATAGTAATTCAGCAATTAAAATCCAACACAAAAATCCATGTAATTGACAGACATAGTTTAATAGTCCAGCAATTAAAGTCCAAATAAATAATCCAAGTAATTGCAGAATTTAATAAAATAATTCAGCAATTAAAGTCCCAAAATGGTAATCCATGTAATTGCGGAATAGAGTTAATATTCCAGCAATTAAAATCCAAAACATAAGTCCATATAATTGCAGAATAGAGTTTAATATTTCAGCAATTAAAATCTAGAGTAAGCATAAAACAATTCTGATAATTAAATGACCCTATTATGCATCCAAAACAAGGTTTATAAACCATATCGCAGTCCGTTAAATTGCTAGACACAATTTAAGCAAATAAACCCTCTCTATCCGTTAACAGTATGCAAGATTATTTAAACTTCCCAACTGGTAAATCCACTAGCACAAAGACTTTAATTATGTAATGAGGGTTCTAATACAGCGTAATATAATATTTAGAGTCCTTACCAATCACCCAAAATAGTCCAGGAAAAATTAAATAATTTAATCATTTCTATCCGTTAACAACATGCAAGATTATTTAAACTTTCCTACTGTTAAATCCGTTAGTATAAAGACTTTAATTATGCAATGAGGGTTCTAATACAGCGTAATATAATATTTAGAGTCCTTACCAATCACCCAAAACAGTCTAAGAACTTAAAAAACCCAAAACAGACCTTTAAACCACGTCATGTAACAAGTTTGGCATGAGAGCATGCTCTCATAAGTTGAGAGCCTGCTCTCAACCCTTGGGAGCCGGCCACTCCCACACCTTGGGAGTAGGCTCTGTGGTCTAGGGAGCCGGCTCCTTCAATCCATGGAGCCGACTCTCTCTCTCTCATAGAGAGCTGCTTCCTCCGTTTCCTCTTCTGGTTTATCTTCTTCACTTTCGACACTATTACAGAAGGTTCTGTGATATCTACTACAATTCCTAGGGTTCAATTCATGTCCCAAAATTCCTCATAAGGCATCCAAATTCCAGTATGCATCATCAACAAAAACTTAGAACACATATGAAACAACAATTGATACGAAGAAACGGATTAATTTTTCAGCACATAGACTATTTAATCTTGATTTAAAAACATACAAGTCTGATTTAAAAAAATATGAGATTTATTTAATGCTGATTAAAACCCTATAGATCATCTAGGCATGCACAAAACACAGGTCAATAGGAGAGAGACAGAATAAAACTTGCCTGAGATTTTGAATGTCATCTTCCTAAGTTTTCCGACGACGTCCGTTCACTGTCAACCTCCTTCTGCTCACCATTCCTTCCTCCTAGGTCTGTCCTTTAATCCACAGCCAAAAACCCTAACTGAACTCTCTCTGTTTTTCTCACAATTCCCTCTGTTTGTCTCTATGTCTCTGTATGTGAATAGGGTTCTAAAAACCCTTTGCAAACTTATAACAGTATATATATAGGAAAATATAAAACCTAAGTCTACTTGTAATTAGAGATGCAATTAGAGACAGAAACCCAACTAAACCCTAGTCGGCCAATACGATCCATAAAAGACTAAAACCCTAATTTCACATTATAATTAATAACTCTAATTTAATCCAATTAATTCATTTAAATAAACTAATAAACCATTTAAACAATTAAAACTAATTTAATACAATTAAAGAAAAATACAATTAGACAACCAATTAAACAAACAATTCAATTAAATAACAATTAGTCAATTAATGTAAATAAACAGGCAAACAAAATAACCAATTAAACAACCAATCCAATTAAATAAAATAATTAATCAATTAAATATAAACACATATCCACATAAGCACATAAAATACAATAATTAAATTCCAATTAAGTCCTTATTAAAATTAAGGGTATTACATACTATATATATATATTTTTTAGAATTAATCTTCTCTGGCCATCATTAACATCACCACCATCGTACCTTCGCCGAAATCGTGACATCCTTACAGTCATCGTCATATCATTTTTGTTGGAGTAGTTGTTGATTCAGTCCTCTTTGCTCGCCGATTCAGTCACGCCACTAATAGATGCTCATCGTTGCTGCCTCTTGTTGCATCGTTGTCGTAATATTCATTCTCTGGTCGCCGTTGTGAAGCTCTCGCTGGTCGCCGTTGCATAATTGAAAAAACAATTTTTTTTCCCAAATCAACCCATCGTCACCTCCAATTGAAAACCAAAGCTGCTTTGTTGCTTTTTCCCAACCCACACCAACGCATCATCACCTCCAATTACCCAAACAATGCTTTTTTGCCCAAATATTCAAACCCAATAATTGTGCACAACTCAAGGTGGCATCGGATTCCCGTAGCCATGGCTGCCGGGAGAGGAAAAACATCAACGACAAAAGCAAAATCCAGAGATATCAATGTTTTAATTAAGGTTGATTTTGTGATTAGTTTGGTTTGATTTGCCAAATCAAGTCCCAAATCAGCGCCAACTAATCTTATAAATTAATCATACAATTTATTTTAGTCGTAAGCCATTGGAATGCTTGGTTGAAAGGAACGATTGAAGAGAAATGGATTAAAAATATTTTGTTCCATTTCGATTTTATCAATTTAATAGATATTAGTATTTCTTCTGAATAACAATGAAAAAAATACACAGCCGAGGTTTTGGGTTTTGAACGTGGTCATCGGAGAAGATATATATGTATGTATGTGTGTGTGTGTGTGTGTGCGCGCGTGTGTGTGTATTGTATAACATAACAATAAAGAGAGAGGGGGGGAGAGAGACGAATTGGGTTTAGGGGGGCTTATATGCAGAAATAGGTGAGGGGCAAAATGGGAAACAAGAGGGTAAAATGGGGTTTTCAGTTTTACTTTTGTAAAAAGGTGGTCAGAGGGACTAGTTTTGCACCTTTTTTGAATTTTGTGGACTTACATGCATATTTTCAAAAAGTAGAGATTAGTTTTGTACAAAGTATATATATCAGGGGTTTTTTTTGCACTTAACCCTAAAATAAAATAGTGGAAGTGTAAATTGGTTTAAGTAGTCTGAAGATATTTTGGTGGTGGGAGAATATTACACCCTTTAAACATAAAAGTGATGGTAAACTGTGATTCACTTCCAAATTCATTTCATGTTTTGAAGTAACCAATATGAATAAGGTAGCAAAATTTAATATACGGTTCTAATCAAGATTTGGAATTGATTTGCCATTCTAATTAGGAAAAATTAGTCCTTTCAACGAAGAGATTCAGTAAAGAGATTCTAATATCATCCAGACTTGATCCGATTAAGTTGCTAAGTATAGAAATTAATAGGCTATAATGGTACGTTGTTGCTACAAATTATCTTAAAGCACGGAATAGATCATTTTGTACTTAACACGTACAACTGCGCTACCAAATTAAAGGTTAGGTTGGTTTAAAGAGAGAAAAATGTCAACTTTAAGTTTGATAAAAGATGGTTACATTTTCCAAGTTAGGTTAAAAAGGCACAATGAGAAAAAAATTAATGATATGTGATTGATTGATCAACTTTTTCATGATCTCTATAATCAAATTATAATGGCTAGCAAAGTTTATGGAAGGTGGACTGGACAAAGAAGTTGTTGTCCCGCATCGATTGGGAATTTGTACAGAAAATGGAATGTCACATCCTCAGTATTTTGGGGATCTCTTGCTTATTTTTTGTTTTCTTATTCTTTCTGTCAAAGTCTCAGAAGAATATTCAATTAAAACTTAATGTTCATGGGATTTCCTTTTTACTTTAGCTTTTTATTTTTCAATCTTGATCGACTAAACAATGAAGTAATTAAGAGTCTAAAATGTAGAATTAAATTCATTATTAAATATTTGCATTGGATTTGGGTGTTAACCACTAAGGCCATTCATTATCTGTTGAAGAATAATATTATCAACATCTGATCGGGACCACACCACCTTCTTATCACTTATCTTCTCTTAATTTACTTGAGAGGGATACTTTCAATCCGAATAGAATAAACAGAAGCTTCAAGGATGATCGATTTGTGGGGGAAAGAAAATCAGAATTTGGCTTTAATTTCAATGATGAAAGAACCCAAAAAAAAGACAAGTTGAACCCAACTGGAAGGAATTGGATTTGGAAAGCACAAAGATTCTGAAAATGGGACCAAATGGAACTAGAAAATGGACGTTGAAAGCAGATATTATCAGAGAGATTCTTGAAACAAACATTAGCATTGTGGAGGAAAGACATGGAAGGAGGCCGGGCACGATTAAGCCAAGTCCAAATCCATTTATTCCTTGTCGAACGTGTTCTTATCATGTCGTGTTAAGTTTGTCATGAAGCAACTTTTTCCAAGACAGCAAACATATACAGTATAACTATTAAGCAACTTCTCCAAATTTACCTCATTCACAAGAAAGTTTTACCGTTGTAGTCAATTAAAGAATACATTAGATTATAATATCTAGTATTTATTTTGAAGAGTAGTTTGTGCAGCTAATTAAGCATATATATAGTAAATGATAAAGCTAGGGTGTTTGATCAATTATATGAGCACATTTATTAATGACAATATCATGTATAAATATGAATCAAAACTTTCATTTGAGATTCCGTGGTTAGTTTTATCATGAAAATCCATGCAATAACATTAGACTCCTTCACTTTTATAAATTCTAAGGGTAACTAAGAATTTTGTAAATTTTTTCTTTCCGTACCTCCAAAATATGTTAAAGACTTGACTCGATTAAATATCACTAAGTCACATGCATTGACAAAAAAGCTTTGCATTCTCCAAATAATCATTTGATTCTTTTTTTTCCTTCTTTGTCATCAGAATAAGTTCAACATTCATCTATACTGCCCTTGGACCCGTGTATGCATTACACCACTCTCCATTTTTATTTATGTACAGTTTGATAAATTAACTTTAATTTTATACTCAACATCAAAATAGAACTTTGAACCAAGAAAAAAATTCAATACAAAACTTAGACATGTATAATACAATAGATAATAAAGTACTGATTTAGAAATTGGATATATAGACATGCAATTCCATGCTATACAAGTTAGAACTTCCTAATTAAGACAATATTTCACACATGAACAAACATCCATGAAAAAAGAAGAAGACAAAAACCCATAATTAGACAGTTCACAACATGCTCTCTTGTCCATACAAGGAATGAAATTGATGGCTTATGGGGACATCTCATTCTCATCTTCAACATCCCTCCATCCATAGCAAGTCTGGACAATAGTCCCATATTGGAGAACCCATTGCTTCACAAGAGAGGTTAAATCCTTCTTCACTATACACATCATTAGCCAAAGTCTCATGCACTGGACTAGCTTTTATAATATTTTTATAATCGTATTCGGGCAAAGCAATATTTTTCCATATTTCATCCATGGAATACCCCTTTTCGATCTCTTCCAATTCTTGATTACTCTTCTTTCCCCTAGAAGCTATTTTGTCTAGACCTCCTGTATCATAAAAGCTGAGTTCTTCCATCTCCATGATCGGCATAGAATCGACTGGAGAATTGTTTGGTGGAGAGGAAGAACAATTAGAAAGCGACGTGGATGATGTTGACATAGCAAGCTTTCTCATCTCCTGAGCCTTCTTCCTCATGTGGGTTCTGCAGTAATTCTTTATCTCATTATCAGTGCGTCCAGGTAGTCTGCGAGCAATTCTTGACCATCTGCATGGATAAAATTATACTTAACACAATTTCCATAGAATTTTTTTTTTTTTTTTCAAACAATAGCAAGAGTTCTCATATAATATATATATATATATATATATATATATATATATATAATTCAATTTGGGTTTTCAAAACTAAACAGTTTTCAAATCAAGTTTTTTTTATACTTTTGAATCATTTTTATATGCTTATGTTAGGTTGTATGTAATTGGAGAAAATTTAATTCATAGAATTGAAAATAGCATAAGTTTTTCAGTTTTCTGTAAATAGGTAAACAAATAAAGGAATCTTCTTATAAACAAATGGGTGTGTAATTTTTTTTAGATAAAATAAAAAAAAGTAAAAACAAGCAGGTTTTTTTCTTCTGTAAATAAATAAATAAAAAATAAAAAAACCAAAAACAAGGTTTATAATATATTGGTAAATTTATGCATATATTTTCAAACCTATTTCCCCATTTGGCATGAAGTTCAAGGATGAGTTGCTCTTCATGGGGTGTGATCTTGCCTCTTTTGAGACCAGGGTGCAGATAGTTAACCCAACGCAGCCTGCAACTCTTTCCTGTTCTTTTCAATCCTACAACAAAACCATATATATGTGTGGTATGGTTAAACTACATATGTGTATATATATATATATATAGCTCCTTCCAAGACCATATATCCTCTCTCTCTCGCTCTCTCTATATATATATGATGCCCAAACAAGCCTATAGTTATACCTATTAATATTTGTCTCCCGCCACCTCCAAACCTGAAACTTTTGCTATGCAATCCCATCTGCGATCTCCAAATAAATTCACGTACAAAACAAGTTGAACATCTTCATGTTCACTCCATGGACCCTTTTTGATCATTTCAATATCCTGCACCATTTTTATCTGCTTTTTTTCTTCTCTCAATCTTTGCTCTCCAATTCCTTTTTTCCTTCACATGGAAACTTATGTGTATGGTACTAATATTTATATCTCATTTTCTTTTCTAAATAATGCTATGTGATAACGACGATGTAAATTTAATAATCATTGTTTGAATCTTAGCCGTCCACGTGGGGCACCACCTGCACCATTTGTGGTAACCAGCTAATGCATGACGTCACCCGGCCACTGAATCCAACTATATAGTGTCTTATTTAGATACAACATCGATACACCTCCTTAATCTTTACCTAAAAAATAAATAAATAATAATAATAATAATATAATAATAATAAAATATAATATAAATTTTTTTTTGTATCCCACTAGAAATTACTAAGACTTAACTTTATTAAGATTCTTAAGTTTGCCGCTAAATGATGAATACTCCCAAAATTTAGAGACTATTCGTAATTTTGTACTCCACACTTTAAACACACGCGAGTAAGTTTAGTTTAATAAACGGATCTAATTATTTGTCACGTAACTGACTAATTTCAAAATATACATAGTATCCTAATGCACTGATCACTAACCATGTTTTGATGAATCGAATGAAACATAACATCACAAATTTAAACTTGTTTGTTAGAGTTTGTTGTGGTGTTCTTCAAATTTGTAGCTCACCACATGAATTAAAAAAAAAAAAATGATACAATGAAATGATAGTATATATATACGACTTAAAATGATCATTATAATTTTTGGTGAAAAATTACAAAAGACTTAGTTCAAGTGTATTTATCTCCTTCTCTTTGTAAATGAGAAGTTAAAAGGTTCGAGTTTCTATTTTGCGTAAAAATATAAAAAATTAAAAATTGGTGATAATTTTTTTCAAAGCTGAGGATTTGTGTCTACAAATGCATTAATGGAAGCTAATGGACTGGTACTTATGCTAGAATGAAACCTATATGTACGGAATTTCACTAGAAATAATATGATAATAGAGTATATGTAGAAGTGGGAAATGGCATCATAATGGCATATATAGCTAATTGGGTTATTACAACTTTGCTTAAAGGGGTCGTGTGGTTGAGTGGAAGGTAGAAAGAGTCATCAAGAAGATGAACCAGCATGACGTGGATGCCAACACTTCATGCATCCCCCACTTGATTTTTAGAAATAAATTACACTCCAAAAGATAATGGTAGACTTCCTAATTCAATCAACTATAAAAAATAATATCAACTATAAAAACAAAAATAAAAATTTAATAGTAGTAATAAAAAGTTGTAAAGGTCAAATGAATTATATATCACCCATTGCAATACTTAGAAAACATGCAAACAATTTCTTGTAGATCACGTCCTTGTTCAAACTTTATTCGATCCGTGTTGAGACGTTTCGTATGAATATCTAAAAGAGTATAAAGTAACTTTTTTTAAAAAAAATTAATGATTTGGAATTACAACAATACTAATATACTATGTTTGGAAGTATCAAATTAATGTTTTGAATTTAAAATTATATATATATATATATATATATAGTTTAAAATTTAGATTCATAATTTAAACCCTAATAGATGCATAGATTTCATGCTGCAAAAGCTAGCAAGAGCTTTCTCCACATACTAATGTTAGGTCACTATGTATGTAACTTGCCTTAATTATGGATCGATCGATATAGTCATATGTTATATTATTATGTTTTGTATGGTGTGTGCTAATCATTGATAATTTTGTTTTAGTTGATGAGTGAGACAATATAACAGATAAGTATAGAGGATTTTAAAATCAAGAAGGCTAATGGTAAGTAATGACAACAGTGTTTTTTTTCTTTATTTTAGATATCACTATAGTATTGAGATTATTTGTTCTTTGAAGTAGTCCACGTTAATTCGCCCTCAGCCCTTAATTATGTAATAATAGGCGATTTCACCTCCATCCGAGCCCATTATGAATGGTGCCAATCATACAAAATCGAATCAATAATATTCTTTCAAGATGCAATACTCATTGTTTCGAAAATATAATACACATTTATTTCAAAAAAATATATAACTTAAATGTGTATTACGTTCTCGAGATAATCAATGAGTGATACATTATAAAAGTAATGATAAATGATATAGTTTTGATACATAATAAAATATAATAAAAATGAGAGATCCAAAACCAATCTCGTAAGGCCAATAGGATGAATAGTGAACCACATGATATATAGTGTAAAAAATATTATTATATATACAAAATGTAAAGCAAGATGTGATAAGTTATATATATATTATTATATTACAACAGATAAGATTTTATATTTCTTGATGACATAGTCAGTGGCGAGGAATGGCATAGAAAGGAAGACATATTCCATTGTCAATGTAACAGTGGAATGCACTAAAAGGTCGTGGGGGGAAGGGGAAGGATAGGGATAGTGCCACTTGTTGGGATTTATATGCCCTGGCATAGCAAATTCCTATCTGGATTGTATTGACATATGTTCCTGACATATCTAAAATATTTATGATTTATATAATTGGTGAATTCAATGTATTATGTTTCAATTCACTATGAAATTGATAGTGTCCAGTTAATTACAAGAAATATTTATATATATGTATGTGATGACAATCAATGCATGATATATAAATAGTAATTATAAATTGTTCATAGTCGGTAATTATGGATGGACTCATAATTAATTAAGACTTGAACGGGATCCGCGTTAGGTTGAGATATATTGCGAGAGCCGTCGTATGCAATTACTCCCTATCACTGTCATGGCATGTGACTCTTAAGCATGAGAAAAGTATAGACTCTTTTATTAATTAATAATTACTTTGATTTGTTCGGCGGATTCTTCGGGATCCTTAGACCGACACTTTGGGTAGTTATGTAATTAATAGTTAGAGGGTTATATTTTCAATATTTGCATCATTGCTACTTGTATTTATTTTGTATTGATTATGGTTGATCACAAAGTAAATTCGAAGGCCTTCGTGTGTTTTTAGACAAAATGATTTATTATATATTTATTTATTTAAATTATTATTTTTGTCAAACAAATGTTTTATTGTGATCGAACCAGAAATAATAATCAAAGGTACCAAAATAAATATATTAATTAAGTAGTCGGATTGATGGCTATATTTATCCGATAACTAATTATGCATAGAGGGGTCAAAGTGCAATATTGACTTAGAGGTTATTTATTATTTAATTGGAGTTCAATTAATTTCTTTTAGTGGAGTAGAAATTAATTTATGAATTAATTGAATTGGGTCCATGGACCGGACCAATTATTAATTCATTGTAGCCAATAAAATAATAGGCCCAATGGATTCTCACTCATAGCCCAACTTGATATTGGAATCATATTAGATTTGAGACATATGAATTAGAGATGGAGAAGGATTTGTTGTTTCCTTTTCTTTATTTTTATGTTGCCTATAAATATACATGGTCTATGTATATTTTATGGGGGTGATTTTTATGAGAAGGAAAAAGGAATAAATTTTCTCTCTCTAGAAAATTAGGGTTTATGTTCTCATCTAATGGAGGCTCCCACAAGCCTAGTTTTCCAAGGTCATTCATGGGGGCATATGAGTGATTCCTAAAGGCAAAATAATTACCAAGAAGATGGAGATCCAAGGAGAAGGCATCTTGCTAAGGGATCTACAATAAGTGAGAACATTCACTTTAGAGGAAAGTTTTAAAGGTTTACTCAGACCTTTGATGTAAGTATTCAATCCATTAATTGAATGATACATCATATTTTTATTTTTGCATAAAACTTGTCTCTATGTGATGCATCAAGATCTATGAATCAAAATCCCTCGAAAAGTTTTTAAAAACTTGCACGTCTCCCAACAGTGGTATCAGAGCATGGTTTGATTCATTACTAGAGATCATGATTTTATGAAAATCATCATTCATGGATCCAAAATTATATTCATATATATTTTTATTGATGTATGTTGATGTATGATTTAATATGTTGATATATATTGATACATAATGATGTATGAATAATTGTGAATGAATGATGATGTATGGTTGGGTCATGGATGAAGCTTATAGGTTAAATTAATGTAATTTTATCTTTGGATGAATGTAATTAAGGCTTTGATTTAGCCGTTTGAAAGTTCAATGATGTAATTTAATTTTTTCCATTGTATTTCAAATTGTAAATATTTTTAAAGCCATGTAATCTTCGTCAAAGGATGCTATGAAGCTTCAAGAAGGTCCAAAAGGATTAAATTATGCTTCAGTAATTTTCTGGAATTTTTCCGAATTTTTTGGAATTTTTCTGGAATTTTTTGAGGCTTAATTTAATTTTCTGGCATTTTTTCGGAGTTTTTGGAATTTTTTCGGCGTTTTTCCGGTGGCCGGAGCTTCGCCGGCGGCGAGAAGGGGCGTCGGAGGTGGCCCGGATCAGGTGTGGCGTCAAGATGGTGAGCCTGGCGCGTGTTCCACACGCGCCAGGAGAGTGCACATGCTGGCGCGTGCATTGCACGCGCCAGCCAAGGGAGCTTGAACTCCACGCGCGTGAAGGCGCGTGGAGGCGCGTGGGAGCGCGTGAGTGTGCATTCCACGCGCCCCAGGCGCGTGCCGGCGCGTGGGAGCGCGTGGGAGCACGTGCAGCTTGCCCTAGGCGCGTGCCAGCGCGTGTGAGGTCCTCCGGGCTCGTTTCAAGCGGCGTTTTGCTTCTCCTGACGCGTACAAGCTTCCTATGGGTGTTTACAGACAGTTGAAGGATGCCCGTACAGCAAGAATAGTTTTTAAATGTTAAAAGCTGAATCCATTGGCCATTTAATTTGCTTTATCTGTCATTTATTGTTGTATGTGATGCATGAAATAATTAATTGCTAATTATTATTGTTCATGCATTGGATCCATGATATTTATTTAAATGGCTTGATTTATATTAATTAAATTATGAAAATTAATTGGATTAGATTACTAATTAATTTGAGGGCACTTATTGGGAAACGAAAAATTGATTTTGTAAATTATTTTTAAAGTGTGCTTCAAATTAAATATTAGTGAATCGTTTAAAGTCCAAATATTTTCTAAATTTAATTGG